CTGTATGTCTGTCTGTCTTGTAACCACCTAGCAACGTCTGAACAATTACTCAAAGCACTCATCAGCTGCTTAGCAACCACTCAGTTTCATGACAACTGACTATCACTTTCATTAAAAAAAATTGTAATAATTTGTATGACTTTATATCATATCAATGTTTGACTTTTTATTTATTTTTTCCCCTCTACGTTTAGGTTTTGTACTTTCTTCTATTTCAGTATCTTGTACAAATTCATATGTCTGTCTGTCTGTCTCTGTATCTAGGAACCGCCCTGAAAATGTCTTCAAGACAATCTTTCAGACGAGATTTTGTCACTGGATGAACGGATGAACTTTCCCATTCTATTTACTTTAGTAATATTACTGTTAGCTCGTAGCTCATAGTGTCTATGCCTATTTATGGTGAAATTATATTAAACTGTGCCAGTTAGAGAAAACTTATTTTCAACTGGGGATTAACCACTTGATCTCTTCAACTTACAAACAGACTGCTCAATGAGCAATTCTCCCAACGACAGCTAAAACTATATGAATTCTTTCACAATGACCACAGTATTATGGGGTTTGTATAAGGCCCCTGCAAAGCAGAGATAAATAGTGTGGCACAGACAGCGGTTTATCAGGTCGTTCCACCCAGTGCATGCGTTTCCCCTGCAAACCCCCACTTGCCATCTCCGGTGACCTATGCGCTCAGATGCTAAAAGCCGTTGTTGTCTGTGATGAGGCTGCTCTGCATAACACTGACATTTACTGAGATTCATCAGTCTGAAGCGTCCACATCCGGTGTTATTAATCGAGAGGACGTCTGAGTTTCTCCGCCGCTCTCAGGCGCAAGATACATAACATGCTATACATGCTCAGAGTTCCGTCTCTTTAGTTAATTACAGTGACAAATGGCAGACAGGCCCCAAAAGTGCAGCGTGTAGTTAAAAAAGTCACAGGCTCATTTTTGAATGTAGACAAATTCTTGGATTCACTGTAATCTAATTACTACCTGGAACGCCTGAAAACAGCAGAAATACTTTGAGTGAGATCATTTTGTTTTCTGAATGAAATAAAGCATTAGGATTCATAAAAAAAAAAAAAGAATCCACAAAAATATCAAGCAGTATAACTGTTTTCTTGAACAGCAAATCAGCATATTAGAATGATTTCTGAAAGATCATGTGACACTGAATAATGATACTGAAAATTCAGCTTTGCCATCACAGGAATAAGTTACATGTTAAAAGATATTAAAATCAAAGACACTTATTTTACTTTGTATTAATCATAATTTTTGATCAAATAATTTCAGCCTTGGTGAAAAAACTGTACTGATCCTGAACTTTTGAAATAATTTATTTTTACAATTGTAGATTGTGTTGTGTAATGTGTATATGTTTATACATGTAAAGCACTCTGGTCAACTGGTGTTGTTTTAAATGTGCTATATAAATAAATGTTGATTGATTTATTGATTTATTGATTGGTTAATTGTTGGTTGCAAAAGACTTGGAATATAGTGCACAAGTTGTATTGAATTTTTCAGAGTACTTTGGTGTTGCTTTTTGACATTTTGGAATTTGAAGGTCGTGGTCACAATGATTTGTTGTTGTATGGAAAATAACTGTTCGGACATTCTGCTGTAGCATTTAATAGAAGAAATGATGGGGCCAGAACAACATGGTGAGTAAATGATGACAATGTTCCTTTTTTGGCTCAACTATTCCTTTAAACTGCACAAGAAATGCTTTGTTCTCACAATGGCCTTTGAAATGTTTTGTTTTGTATTAATGCCACAGAAATGAAGCTCCATTCCGATGGCACCACTAGACTCTTGAGTGACTGCAGTAAGTGTTTCCAAACCTCAGTTATGTTGCTCAACATTAGTGTAGCGTCTGGACCAATCAAACACACAATATATATTTTGTTTTTATATTTAACAAATACTCTGTAACCCCCCTCAGTTAACAAGCCATACGAGGACTCATGAACCCTTCCCCCCGGAATGCGTAACACCCCAGGAAGCCGAAACAGGCCCCTTTGTTGCATGGCAACCAACGCTGATATCACTGGGTTTATTGGCCAAAAGTATCTAAAGCAGGGAAAATCCCTGCATGTCCCAGGACAAACGCACAGTAGAAATGGACTTTTCTACTAATTAATTCATAGGAAAACCTTTCTTTGAATGAACACACAT